TTATTTCTTTAATTATATCCTGATTAGTAGTTCTTTAATTTTAAAATATAATATATTGTTTTTTTAAAAGTTGAACTAAAATATATATAATGACATACTAATAGTCCTCATTGATTGGAATTGAGCTTTTTTTTTACAGCCTCGCAAAAGATCAAAAATATGAGCTTTTTTAATCTTCTCAAAAAATAGTTAACTTACAAAAAAAAGTTTTTCTACAAAAGTTGTTTAAAAGACAATTATAAACAAAAAAGGTGTCGTATATTTTTTCATTTAAACAAATATTTTTCTAGTTGCATTACATTCAATATGAGTACTAAAATTTAATTTCCATTTTTTTCATTTTACGGTTTTTATCATGTTATACTTTCATTAAACACAATGTTATAAATGCATATGTGTGTATGTGTGAGTTTATTTATTTATTGTATCATTAAAGTGTAGTGTATATTAATATACAAGCGATAGAGTAGGTAATTGATTTGACGCTATATTGTTTAAACCCAACTAAACGCTAAATTGTACATTCCCAAACAACAATCATATTATTTCAATTGCCACCGGAATTTCTGGTAATCTTTTACTTTGCCTTGATCCCAACTACTTGGGGTCGGCCACCCTTATCCTAAGCTTCCATTTGACACGATCTCCCACATCTTCTACGCTCACATCAGCTGACCTCAAATCGCATTCAATAGCATCCCTCCATCTCTTTTTTGGTCTTCCTTTATCTCTTCTTCCTTCAACATTAATTTCTATAACTGTTCTTACAGCTTCCGATTCTTCTCTCCTCATAACATGACTAAACAATCTAAGTCTATTTTCTGTCATCTTATCCACGATTGACGCTATACCTATACTTCCTCTTATATGGTCGTTCTTTATCCTATCTTCTCTATTCACTCCACTCATCCAACTTAGCATTCTCATCTCTGCTACACTTATTCTGTGCTCTACTTTCTTAACAACCGCCCAACACTCTAAACCATACATCATAGCTGGTCTCACTACAATTTTGTAGAATTTACCTTTTAGCCTCATTGGATTTCTTTAATCACATAAGACACCAGACATTTCTCTCTACTTCAACTACCCGCACTTAATCCTGTGTCTTACATTCTCATCAATACCACCGCCCCTTTGCACTATTGATCCTAAATACAAAAAACTTTCTATCTCCCCATTCACACTCTAGCCTATTGTCACTGATCTCATTTCACCTACCTCATGTTTTCTTTTGTCAACCCAGCCAGAATTTCTGGTCATGATAAAATTAATTGTCATAAAGTGTCTAAAATTCTAAAGTTCTAGTAAACTCAATAGTGGATAATAACTTTCATTATATAAATCTTAAAAGGTTAAATATAGTTATAACTGTACCTTCAATAATTTCTATTGTTAAAATTAATAATGAAATAATTAAAGTAAATTCATTGCTACTATTTCAACTAATCGCTAATTAAAAAAAAAACCAGCAGTGTCCCGGCACAGTGTGTATAATTGGGTGCAGTATAGATGATATGTGACAGTGATTAAAATCATAATCAAAACACAACGCCATGGTGCAAATCTGTAGATAGTGTTTAATTTTAAAATTTTAATGGATTATTACAATGATCTCCTATTTCCTTATTTATATCCTAAAAACAAGTTATATGCATTACTAGTGCAAAGTATGTAATCGATGGAGGATTTCTCCACTATAAAGTTATTTCACAAATGTATCAAACAAAAGTTTTTCTATTTTCTTATTCATTTTCTCATTCTAAATTTTGATAGAATATATCTTCAACAAAAGTACAATTTTCTTAATCTTCAACCTTTATTTTTATTGAATTTGTACGCCATTGACCTTTGCAATGTTCACATATAATAAAACATTTTTTTTGTCCTGTTTTTCGGCAGTCACAATTTTTACCAGCACCTGACTAAAAGCTGTTTTATGGCAATCATCTGTATTATTAGCAGAAATTCCGGTGACAATATACATAATATAAATGTTGTTTGGGAATGTACAATTTAGCGTTTAGTTGGGTTTAAACAATGTAGCGTCAAATCAATTACCTACTCAATCGGTTGTATCTTACTATACACTACACTTTAATGATACTATAAATAAATAAACTCGCACATACAGTGTATGTCATACACACATATGCATTTATAACATTGTGTCTAATATATGTATAACATGATAAAAAGTAACCGTAAAATGAAAAAAATTGGAATATAAATTTTAGTACTCATATTAAATATTTGTTTAAATGAAAAAATATATGATAATTTTTTTGTTTATAATTGTCTTTTAAACAACTTTTGTAGGAAACTTTTTTTGTAAGTTAAATATTTTTTGAGAAAATTAAAAAAGCTCATATTTTTGAACTTTTGCGAAGCTGTAAAAATAAAAGCTCAAGTCCAATAGATGAGGACTTTTAGTATGTCATTATAAATATTTTAATTCAACTTTTAAATAAAAATAAAATTTGATTGGAAATTTTTTCCGCTATTTTTCCTTCGTTGACTGGCCTAAATATATTAATATTTTACAGTATGGACGACGCTGCCGGTCGTGCTTAAATTTAATATAAAAGGGCATAAAAACTGTCAATCTCTCTCACTACTACTTCACATTATGAACTTTCAACGGATGAAAAAAGTGGCTTGATAAAATACGATTTTATATAGAAAATTGAAGTATATTAATTTTTTCAACATTAGTCCTGATATCATTAAGGTAAATTCATATCCTACAAAAGATCCATAATGTTTAAAGTTGTTCGCGCTAGTTATCACGCGATTAAGCGATACCAATAATGGTCGCCGACCAATATAAGACCAGTTATGCTCGATCTACGTACGCGCGCGGACAAATCGCCAGCTTACAATAAAATAATAATGAAAAGATACAGTCCACAATTAATAAACATTCGTATTTATCAATTTATTTATTATACAGATTGAACCAGACGCAACAAAAGTTAAATATAATGAGTACATAAATTAAGTAGGAAACCAGAAAAAATAAAGTGATCTCTAAAATAAAATATTGTCTAAATAAATAAAGAGAATCAATAACGTTTGTACGAAGTTAGCCAGCATAGTCTAATCTTTGTGTGAGTTACCTGTGTAGTCAATACTAATAAAGACTCTCTTTCAAAGATAGAGAACCCACTTGTGGTTCCTATTCTATTCGAGGTATTTATTGACTCGACTCACAGTAAGCACAAGCCTAGATAACTACTGGTACGAGTGGCGTTGTTGATGATCTATATGTGATAATTAATCACAATAATTTAAAATTATTATTATATTAATACATTTTCAAACATCACTTTGCTTTTCTATATTTTACGTCTTCTCATAAACCCTCGTACTTTATCCCGAGAGAAAATTAAATTATATCATTTTTTATTCAATAAATATTATAGTAACTCAATTATTCTCATGCTCATACAATATCAACAAATAACAATAATTTAAATAAATTATTCTTCAATCATATTAATAAAAAAATTATTGTTTTAATTGATTTCCTTTTTTTTTTACTTACTATACAAGTCTAACCCAACTTATTCAATGTAAAAATTTATTGAGAAGCTGTTATATGTTAACTATGTGCTATGTTCTTGTTCTAAGAAATATTACGGCGGGAGATAAAAGTAAAGGTTGCAACTACATATTATTATAGGACACGTTAGGCCATCACAATACCGCCCTAATAAATTTCTAAATGGATATAAATATTTTTAATATTTATATCTGTACTTATTTTGAAAGCTTTAAAAATTATGGTTTCCGATCTTTCAATAAAATATTCTTTGATAAAGTTAAAAATGGTTCTAGTTTTAGTTATTAAACTAAAGTTAAGATAAAAATAAGAGTACATTATTAAAATTATATTTTTGATAGAAAATGTGTAGTGTTGGTTTGTGTCTAATTATTGACATATAAAAACCAGTCGCAGATTTTATGTAACGAAATTTTGTTATTTAAAATTAAATCGTTATCGTTATATTTAATAGTTATATTAACTATTAACGATACAATACGCTCATTTTAAATTATGATCAAAAATGAATTTTTGCTTTCAAACCACATATAATTTTTTACGTAAAAAAATAATTAAGAATGAAATTAAATTTTATAGGGATATTTATCCAAAATTGTTTAACTCTGTGATCGATCCATTATTTTATCACAAACTCCATCATTTTATTGTAGACATTTATATTTATTTTATTTGTTTAAATTTGTTTAAATAATTGTGTGTCCAATCACAAAAATTGTACTGTTTAACCGCCTATTTTAATATTACCTCATATTCTCCATTTAATTTTTTTTTTAATAACTATATTCTTTTTTGATAATTAAACTGCTAAAAATTTAACTAAAATAGATCAAAGTTAGCTACTCTATTATTTTGAGTTGATCCTTAGAGGGGGATATATATTTCATCCACCGCCTATTAATTAAATAATATTATGAACATTTTTATTTAAATAAATAGTTAAATAAATGCAGTTGCATTGAGTGTGACAACAAGTTTGGTCTGTTATTTGACAAAACTTATAATATCAAGAAAATTTAACTCGAAATATGTCTCTAAAAGAGAGTTTAAAATAATAATTTAGCGGAAACAGTAATTTGTTAATATATTGTATATTACAGAATTAATTTTCAGAAATATTTTAATACAGAAATAATTTTCAGGAATATTTTAATACAGAAATAATTTTCAGGAATATTTTAATACAGAAATAATTCTAAGTACGATATTAAAGAAAAAGACTAATATTTTAAATTATTGATAGTATTTATTTTATTTTATATTTCAAGTGTAATTGTGAAAACATTTTATTGACAGAGCTAAAAATAACGATTTATTATTTTGACTTATGTTTCAGAAAATAGATCACGTATAATCAGATAACGTCAGCTGAACAATTACGTGTTGTATGATAATTACGTATATTTAAATGAAATTTTTTTCCAAAAAAGCAATTAATAAAATTTGTTGTAAGAAATTCATATAAATAAAATTCAATATTCTTTTTACAACTAGTATAGAATTTTTTAAAGTAAACTCATCAAGGAATCAACATAACATAATCGAGTGGCAAAATGAATTTTTTTTTACTTTTGATGTCAATGATGTCTTTAAAAGTAGTCTTAAGTGATAACGCAAAAAATTTATTCTGTTTCCATACTCAGTATTTTCTAAACTTTTTTAACCATAATGAAAGATTTTTGTTAGAGATCGAAAAAAATGAAGATTATATCACAATCGAAAATCTAACAAATTATGGCAAGGCACTTCAAACACACGGTAAAGTAATTATGTTATTTTTGAATAACTTGAAAAACAGTTATAAAAGCATTTTTCCTTGTAGTTTAATCACGGTAAATATGTACTTAAATAACATTTCTGGTTCTTTAAATATGATTGCTCTAAACAATGATGGTGAAAAAAATGATGCCATAAAATTATTAAAAGGCTACAAGATTATACATCTTGCAGTTAAAGAACAACTAACAAATTACATATGTGGATATTGTAAAAATGTACAGTTTGATGATAATTTGGTTAGTTGTAGTTATCCAATAGTTAATAACAATTATACTACTGTTAATCTAGTAAACATAAATAATTATCTCAAGTATAAGATTATAATGAAGTTTAATTATAAAAATAAAAGTAACTTTTACAAAAATTATCATCCAAAAACTTTTTTGTTTTACAATATAATGACCCAACAGATTCTCTACAACGAAAATAATACTATAGAAATAGATGATAGTCAACACATAGAATTAAATCAACTTCGTTTCACTCCACTTAACATCAGATGCACTGACGGTACTCGTTTAACTATACAAGATGTATTTCAGTATATGATATATGATTTTAATTCTAAGGATGTTCAAGCGTATATAAAGATAATACTTGTGGCTACATTTCGACCTTTAGCTATTCTAATTCGCAACTTTTTAACCTTAATTCAAGTTGCGTCTTCAGAAAACTCAGATAATGTAAAATTTTGGTTAAAACCTAATTTTATTGAAATGGGTAAAAAAATAATGCAATATTTATTAAAATTTATTTCTCTCCCCATGTTGATGTATAAACGGACATTTCTACAAGACAACGTCTTAAATGAATTTTTTATCGTTTTAAGCAATTATGCTAAAAAAAAAAAATTGTCCGAATTAGATAATAAAACTAATGAAACATTAATTAAAACACTATCGAATTTCTTCATGAAAAACAGTATACACTTTACAAATCATATAGAACTAACCAATAAAAAGATTACTGAAAATAATGCTGATCAAATTAAAAATCAATTAAAACAAATCATGAAAAAATTGAATATCTATATGAAAGATTTGACAAAATGGGAAAAAAATTTTGAATTTATTGTAAACAAATTTAGGGTGCGGTCTTTCAATGTGGCACATTTGAAAAAAATTATTGATTTTAAAATTTTAGGCAAGTGAAAATTAAATTATTTTTTATGCTATACATTACATATACAGGGTGGCCCAGCACTCACTGACAACTGAAATAACTTTTGATCCAGTTAATATTTTTAGCTGATTTTTTTTTAAATATTAGTTATACGTTAGGTCTATAGCTATATCTCAATAATTAATTTTTTTACATTTTATTAAAAATATTAATTATTTTTAAATTTTAAATAAAATGTAAAAAAAAAATCTAAGATAGCTATTTTGTAGAGTATAATTTAAGAAAAATTTTAGTAAAAAAATATCTTATTAATATTCAGTAGTAAATATTCTGTAGCATTTTAAAGTTTATGAAAATTTGAGTTTTCTTGTATTATTTTACGGTATTAAACATTACAAAATCGGTATTAATACCATGATAAGAAATTTGATAAGGCAATTGTAATTTATCAATCTTTGGAGGTTATGTCCTCCAGAGTAATCGTTTATAATTATTAAAAGCTATTAAATAAAAAACAACACAAGAAAACTTGAACTAACGTCAAAGGCGTTGAAAGCTTTTTATTTGTACAAAAGAAAGTATTAACATAGAACTGAAAAGAATAAACGTTTTCTTCGTCGTGGCGGATGAGGTAACAAAATGGATAATTAAAATGACGATAAAAATACATACGAAATTCTCGGCGATTGAACGGTAACTGAAAGTACATGGAGGACGGTTAATTTTAAAATCACATTTACAAAGGCACACAGGTATATTTTTATATATCGATATTAGCAGTTACACAGCATTGTTATTATTAATTGTTGTAAGGCACATTGTTATGAGTTTATAAATACACTAACTGGCAATACAGAAAGTACATCTATATCTGTATATCTATTGATAATCATAATTGATAATAAACAATCCGTGACTGAGACAGCAATGTCATAAAAATCCAATTAGCTACCTGTATTTACAATCCCATGTGTATTATACATGTATATTAACTCAAAATTTTGAAACTTTAAATGTTTATATCTAATAAGCTAATAAAGTTATATTAAAAATTCAAATGCCATTTACTATTAAATTAAAAACTCAAACATTTTATTAAATTAAAAATATGTGTTACCATTTAAAAAACAAAGTTGACCCCCCTCCAAGGCATAAGGGATGAACTTAAAAAGTATTACATAGTTAAAAATTCAAGAATAATGTGTAACTAAAGATAATAAAAAAAAAATGTTTAAATTATTATTATTCTGCAAGTAATTGAGTGGGTTATGATAAAAAAATCACTCTGTATATATATATATATATACAATATAATCTGCTATGTGTTAAATAAAAAAATTCAATTTCAAGCTTCAAATATTGCGAATTAATTTATTAAATATTTTTTAAGGATTCTTATATTAATAATTCTAAAACTTATATAGGATATTCTTTAATTTTTGTTTTTAACATAAATATACAAAAATTACAATTGCAAAATTGAAGAGGTAATGTTCAAAATAAAACTGGAATTACATATTATGTAATTTCTATTTTTATTAATATATTTCGGTGGTTTAATTATAGATAATAAAAAACATGTTTTGCATTTTATTATAAAATTCTTATAATGGGTTGAAATTGTTCCTAATTTTTATTCTAATAATTTCAACTAAAATTTTGTGATGGGACTTATGAAAAATAAATTTAAATTTATTTAATTTTTATAAATTTTAACTATTTTTTTTCTCTAACGCTATTAACTTATCTACAAATCAAACAATTTTATAGCTAATTAAAAACTGTTGAAAAGTACAAAAATCTTTATTATTGACAACCGAAGTAATTATTTGCATTTTGTAACTTTTTAAAACTTTATTTTATTTATTTTAGATCGTATTTGTAATACTGAAGCACATTCTGAAATATATAGTTTTATTACGAAACATAGTAACAAAACTGATATAGATTATTATAAAGATGTAGAATATGTGGATGATAATATTACAGAATTTAGCTTAGAGAATCTAAACTTTGACCAAAATGAAAATTATATCAATACAAATGACTTCACTGTAAATCAATCAACTCATAATCCTCATTATATGATTGATTATTTGCCGTACGACGTGTAACGTGAAATATTTAAAACTGTTTTGAATATTAATACTTAAAATCATAATTACTTATTTAAAAAAATTTTATTTTTTCCATTTTACGTTTGATATTTTTTATTGGTTAAACAAAAATTTTTATTAGTGCAATATAACATTTATCAAACAAGCAAATATTCTATTACAATAAAAAAACTGTTAATTGTATTTATTTTCAGTGTGTGGCATTAATTTTACAAATTACTTTCTTGTGTTCAAACTTTTAATATAGCCCAATGAAAATAACTGTACTTTTAAAGATAATGGTAAATTATTTTGCTCGATTATACAGTTCTTTTGATACTTAAACTGAATATCGAAAAATGGTAAAAACTGTCTCTAGTAATTTAGTAACTTCTACCTTGACATGATCAAATCTCTAGTTTAAAAATGATATTATTTGCTCAATATATTGCGAAGAACATTGGGTATATTTTTAATAAAAAAAATTTTATTAATATTTATTCTATGATTTATTATATATATATATACTAGGCCCCATCTAGCTGGGGCTCCGCCCCAGACCCGGAACCCTACGAGCCTTACGCACCTCCGTTGCGTAAGCTTCTTCGGATCGTCATCATAAGTAGGCCACTGATGTGTTGCAGAAAAAATATTACATCAGTGTTATAATTCAAATAACAAAATTTAATAAAATAAAAATATTGATAATAATAAAAATAATAATGGGGACTTGGGTTTTTGTATATAGTGGGAACCTGATGTTGTGGTTCTATCAGGGTCCTATGGTTCGAGGGTTTAGAACGACAAAGACAAGTAGATATAAAAATAATAGACGTAGTACCTCTATTCGAGGTATAATAAACTTTTGTCTGGTTAGTTTCTAATATCCTAACTAAGAGGCAACGAGACGGCAGAGCCAGTTCACGAATACCATATAACGTGATTATGTATAACTTCTTTAACCAACCAGTCAAAATTGACACTTTAAGATATTAATTTAATAAATGATCTATTGCTTTGTCATTCTTTACTCAAACTTATTAACTCCAAATAAGTGGGATAACATAAAATTACTTACTTCTTTTATTCTTGCAAATTGCTGTAAAATGATTTGATAAATATCTCGATATGTTTATATATGTTTAAAAGTATTTAATTCGCACTTCTTCAAAAGATAAATAATTAAAACAAGTTCTTTTCATATATAAATAAAACGCGTAAAAGTCAGCCGACAACAACACAAGGCTGTGACTGATAATTGTTTCCTTTTTATTCTTAATACAATTCGGAGAAAGCGAACTCTCTCGCTCGCTGTCACTCCTCGGAGTCTGAAAGGATTTCAGTGCTTTTTATAATAAAATGATAGTACCCTCAATCCAGCGATATTGTTGTCATCGCTCTTAGTGATCTTTTAAGTTTATTGTATTTAATTATAAATTACATAATTATTATATTGAGATAACATATTTAACAATTGATAAATTGACATATATATAAATAATAAGAAATTATGTTGAACATCGTATTTGTTATGACAGATAAATTATTTGTTTGTTTACAAATTATTTAATATACAGATTATACATTTTTCATTGATAATTGCAAGATGCGTAATGCAAAGCATTGAGCATATTACGACATCAGAATCAGTATAACAAAAACCCAGCACAGGGGGGTCGCGGCACAGTGGTGACGTGGCATAGTTGGATCAAGTATAATGATATCTGACAGTGATTAAAATCACTATCAAAAAAAAACGCTTCGATGCAAATCTTTAGATAGTGTTTAATTTTAAAAAATTGGTGGATTATTCCAAAAGCTTCATAAACTGCTAGTTCCTTATTAATATCCTGATTAAGACAAAGTATGTAGAATAAAAAAGAGATTATTAGAAAATAGTATTTCCCATAAAAAAATTATATTGATCAATACACTTTTCAATAAGTTATAGCATTATAATGTTAAAAATGTAAAAAATAAAATTGAGAATTTTCACACAATAATAGCATTTGGTAGCCATTTTCACCTTGAAGATAAAATAAAGTCCGAAATTTTTTTTTTCCATGATAAAGTATATTACATTAGCTTTAATTTAAGATATATATAAAAGTGTCAGACTTTCCGGAACACTTTCAAAATTTAAGTTGAAAAAGTCAATTTTTTGTGAAAAAGTTGTCATTTTGAATCCCCCCCTGTAGGCAGGTAAAAAGTCAGATTTATAAAAAAAATATACCAAATGATAGGTAAAGACATCATGCATCTACAAAAAAAAGAATTATATTGATCCATACATCTTTCGAGAAGTTATAGCATTATAAAGTTAAAAATATAAAAAAGAATTTTTTTACAAAAATCGTATTTTTTTTATTAAGTTTAATGTCTGTTTTCACCATGAAGATAAAATAAAGTCCGAAATTTTTTTTTACCATTATAAAGTATATTACATTAGCTTTAATTTAAGATATATATAAAAGTGTCAGACCTTCCGGAACACTTTCAAAAGTTACGTTGAAAAAGTTCTACTTTCTATATGCATTTTTATGTTTTGAATCCCCCCTGTATTTAGGGAAATGGTCCGATTTAAAAAAAACAGTATGTCGAATGAAAGATGTATATGNGATTTAAAAAAACAGTATGTCGAATGAAAGATCTATATAAATACTACTTCTCATAAAAAAATTGTAATGATTCATACATTTTTCAAAAAGTTATAGCATAATAAAGTTAAAAATGGAAAATACAAAATCGAAAATTTTCACACAAAAATAGCATTCGGTAGCCATTTTCACCATGAAGATAAGACAAAGTCCGAAAATTTTTTTTTTCATGATAAAGCATATTATATTAGCTTTAATTTAAGATATATATTAAAGTGTCAGACCTTCCGGAACATTTTCAAAATTTAAGTTAAAAAAGTTAATTTTTTGTGAAAAAGTTGTCATTTTAAATCCCCCCTTGTAGGCAGGTAAAAAATCAGATTTATAAAAAAAATATACCAAATGATAGGTAAAGACATCATGCATCTACAAAAAAAAGAATTATATTGATCCATAAATATTTCGAGAAGTTATAGCATTATAAAGTTAAAAATATAAAAAAGAATTTTTTTACAAAAATCGTATTTTTTTTATTAAGTTTAATGTCTGTTTTCACCATGAAGATAAAATAAAGTCCGAAATTTTTTTTTACCATTATAAAGTATATTACATTAGCTTTAATTTAAGATATATATAAAAGTGTCAGACCTTCCGGAACA